GCTAAAATTAACAAGTCAGGAAATGATAGATGTTGGCGAGGATGCAGAGAAAGGGGAACCCTCCTACACGGCTGGTGGAAATGCAAGCTGGTGCAGCCACTCTGGAAAACAGTGTGGAGCATCCTCAAAAAGTTGAAAATAGAGCTAGCCTATGACCCAGCAATCGCACTACTGGGTGTTTACTCTAAAGATACAAATGTAGTGGTCCACAGGGGCACGTGCACCTGAATGTTTATAGCAGCAATGTCCACAGTAGCCAATATATGGAAAGAACCTAGATGTCCATCAACAGATGAATAGATAAAGAAGAGGTGGTACACACACACACACACACACACACACACACACACACAAAATGGAATACTATGCAGCCATCAAAAAAATGAAATCTTGCCATTTGCAACGATGTGGGTGGAACTAAAGGGTATTATGCTGAGTGAAATAAGTCAATCAGAGAAAGACAATTATCATATGATCTCCCTGATACGAGGAATTTGAAAGACAGGGCGGGGGGTAGGGAAGGAAAAAATGAAACAAGATGGGATCTGGAGGGAGACAAACCGGAAGAGACTCTTAATCTCACAAATAAGCTGAGGGTTGCTGGGGGTTTGGAGGAGTAGAGATAGGGTGGCTGGATGAAGGACACTGGGGAGGGTATGTGCTATGGTGAGTGCTGTGAAATGTATAAGCCTGACGATTCACAGACCTGTAGCCCTGGGGCAAATAATACATTATATGTTAATATAATTTTTTTTTTTTAAATGAGGTGGTCCAATGTGATATGTAAGATTCTATCCAGCTTTGAAAATTGAGGATTCTCTATCCACGGAAAGTTCGTGTTTATGTATAAATGTCTATACACAAAATAGGTACATCACACTTAAATTTGATATAAAATTCCATGCACCTGCTTTGTACCATCCTGGGTCTTTTATCTATAAATATCTACTTACATCAGTGCGGGTGACTCCACCTCATTAGATTTAAAAATTTAAAAAACTTCATATACAGTGGCTACATTTAACTAATTTACATAAAATCTTCATTTAGGGTTCCTATCATAGCAAATACGTACACAGTGGAGCGGACAGACCAGTCTGAGCAGTTTTAACACTGTGCGTATTATGAGAGGTTCATTGCAATCCCATGAAATATTTTTCTATGTAATCAGTAAAAAAAAATCCACCTCAGATTATGTGTCCAAGGAAGAATATCCTAAATTCAGGTGATCTTTAATCATCCAATGTACCAACTTCCCAAAAGGAATTTTTGAGATTCGCTGATGTCACATCTTGCCAGATTTCCTTCTTTTTTAAGGACTGAATAATATGTCATTATATGTATATGCCACATATTCTTTATCCATTCATCTCTTAGTGGAAATTTAGGTTGCTTCCCCATTTTCGCTAAAGTGAACAGTGCTGCAATGAACACAGGATTGCTAATATTTCTTTGAGAACCTGATTTTAATTCTTTTGGGTAAATATCCAGAAGTAAGATTGCTGGGTCATCTGGTAATGATCACTTGGTAATATGACAAATGAAATAAGCCAATCACAAAAGGACAAGTATCACATGATTCCATTTACATAAGGTATCTAAAATACTCAAACTCGTAGAAGCAAAGACTGAATGGTGATTGTCAGAGGCTGAGGGGAAGAGAAGGTGGGGTGTTGCTAATCACCACGTACAAAATTTCAGATATGCAAAATGAATTAAGTTCTAGAGATCTAATATACTTCACACCTATAAATAATAATAACTGTTACTCACTCGGAAATCTGATAAGAGGGTAGATCTCATGTCTTCCTATCAAATATATAAAGACATTTTATTTTCAAGTAATAAAAGAGCAAATAATACTGCATTTTCTGTTATTACTTTACGACTCTTTTGAAATACTGTGTTCACAAACTGGCCTTAAAGTACTGCTCAGGGATTCTTGTGAAATACTGTAGAAATCACGGCAGAGCAGAGAGCTTACATGCTCACATGGGCCCCATGCTGGAACTCCAACCATGCCTGCCTCCTGTAGGCTCCTCTTCACCAGTGGATAGAACCGACTCAATCTACACCGCCTTTTTTCTAGCTGTTTATGAATTTAAAAAACCCTTCATTCTGGGACTTGGTAACTTCAGATGGATGTAAAACTGGACCCACGCTTTATTTCTACTTAGGCCTCCAAGAGGCTAGGAGGAACCTTATCATTTATAAATTAAGAAATTGAAGCCTTTGCATCTAACCAGAGAGAAATCCACAAGCACTTATTACACTCATCTTGTTTACTTTTAAATATGTACTGCTGGGCCAAAGTTGTGACTCTCAGTTCATTATACCCAATTTTACATAATGAATAAAAATAAGCATTAAGGAGATGTCTTCCTCCAGGAAAAGGCTTTACATAATTAGTCTACATGCTAAACTATCAGCAAAGAACCTGGCCACAGCCACAAGAGATATCCAATATACTTGGAACTCCACAGCCAACTATATTCTTTTTCCTGTTTATCCTAAGTCAAGAAGATATATTTTTAAACTTGGGAATAAAATGGAATACCTTCTTATCAAGGCACAGAGAGCAAGTTCCTACAATGGGAAAATCAAGTGTTCAGATATTGAGACTAATTTATGCAGGGATGTCAGCTAGTCACATTGAATTGACCTTGCAAGTCAGCTAACATCATGCAGTCAGAAATAGTTTCGGCAGGGAAAGCACGTAATTATTTGTAATAGCACCAGTAACATCCAAGAATAAGTCGCCTACACCTTTGTGTTATCCGATCCAAATGTCCAATCCAAATCTCAGCCTTCCCTGAGTATTCCCTTCACAGGATTCTCACTGCTCTGAGACTTACTGTTTTCCATCCTCAGATCTCATCTACTGTCTGCTCATTTCACTTGTATTTATACAAGTATTTGCAACTGGTGGTCCTATCATATCTATCTTAGCTATAAATGAAGGCAACAATCTCAGATACAGAAACTTAACAAAATATCGTTTTTGAACTGAGATCGATCGTATTCTTTGCATACATGTCCAACAGCGTGTTTCAAACAGTGGATTTTCTTTTCATTAAAGTACCCTGGACATGCAAATAGCTGTTTAATTCTAAAGCATTGTTTTTTCATTTTAACATCTCTGAAACCAGCAAGAATCTGTAATGGTATAATTGATAACATCTTTTTCCATTCTTAGTGGTACTTAGGATAATGGTGCATCTCACATCAATAACAACTTAAGAGTCAGTAAAACATGATCCTTTCTAGCCTTTTCTTGGGGAGAAAGAAAACCTCTTTGATAGAAAATAGCAATGCATTTAAAAACATATGTTTTAAGACTTCAGCCTGAAAAGTTGTTTAATCTCTTCTACTTCTCGACTGTGCAAGTACTACGTATTTAAATATGCACACTCTTGATATATCAAGTACAGTTGAGGACTCTTCTGATTGCGCTTCAAGACTTCTAACACTTTTACACATTTTTAAAAATCAATCCTGTAATCATTTTCATATTTGTTGTGCCTCTTTTTAAATAGCATAGCGCACATGCTAGCATTTCAATGTTTGACATGAGCCTCCATTCCCACACAGAGAAACAGATCTCTCTCTCTTTTTTTTTCACCTTTTCATTTACATTCTCAGTTGCCCCAGAGATAGTACAACCATATAGGATACTCACAATAACCTGATTATATTTTTAGGTTTCTTGGAACGGAAAGAAGTTAGATGTTTTCAGTCAAGGGTCCTGGCACAGTCATACTGTGAATCTCATATAAAGGACAAATGGCAAAGAAAATTTTAAAAATGGAAAGTATAGAAGAGCAAAGAGAAAACTCTACCAGCAATATCTTATTTTATGATGTAAATAATCCCTTCTGTCAACATGAGTATTGACATATGCATAGTTTGAGAAGGGAGAGAAGTAGATTGATTTCATTTAATCTCATGATTTTTAGCCGGATGGCTGGCCAATGAAAGAAAGAGAAAGACATTCTTAGATGCAGTACCTGACAGATCAAATCGTCATTAATGAGCAAAAGTAGCTGGAAAACAAAACAAGATTTACAAGATTTAAAAAGATCTAAAATATCTTTGCAAAGTGTTCATGTTTATGTGTCTTCTCCTGAATTATAACCAGTCTCTGTCTTTCATTGAACTACTCTTTGCTTAGTTTTTTCCATTAGTCACTTAGGAAATAGAAATCATCACCAGAATGTACAAAGAACACTAGTGATTAATGCTTAGGAAACTCCTTTCATAAAATATTAAAATACTTTACTGCTCCCGTGTCTGTAAAGGGAAGCAACCTAGAAATCAGGCAATTTGTTCAACTCCTCAACAAAACATTCCCCGAGAACCATCACCTCACCCAACATCATTCTCACCAAGATATTTCAGCCCATAGAGATAATATTATAAGTAAAATATATGGTGAGGCATTAAATCCCAGAAAAAGTGCCACTTTATATTCACCAGGGAAAAGAAATTAAGCCGCAAAGTAAAACTGTCAGTTACTGTCATTGCTTTGTTGCACTGAAAGAGTTCAATTAGTTCACAAAGAATTTTAGCAAGTACTAATTTAATTAACATAAGAAATCTTCAAACTACCTACAGCTTTCCCTAGTTCATAAGTTAGCAAATTTTTCATTTAAATAAGAGGTCCTTCCCTATATTCTCCAACTACATGCATGATGTGTATGAGTAGTACTAGCAAAGTATTTATTACTTCTTTTCATTTTCTCTTTCTCTTGTTTCTTTCCTTTCAAAATTACTTTGTATTCTTAGTTTCAGACATCTGCATCCTTTGGTTTCACACTTAAGAATCCAGATAACATGATGGTCATTATGGAAAGCAATCACACTCTACATTGATGAATGACTATTTACAAAATGATTTCTATCATTTAAAGGAGAAAATGTAATTGAGACTTTAAATTCCAGATAAAATGCTAACAACTCAAATGACACTGACTAGCTATGAGCTTCTGAAAGTCACCCACCTGGGGCAGCATGCGATTTTCTTCCTCCAGCTGTCTTACTCTTGCCTCCAGCTGCCTAACATAGGACAAGGTTGATTCTAAAATTAAAAAGAAAGAACTCACATTATACACACAGGTCTTATTTAGTGCACTGTCAGGATATTTCTGGTTCAATTTATTCAAATCAGGTAGTGACAATGTAGTCTGTTATTTAAAAAAAAAAAAAAAAAAAAAAAAAAAAAGGCTTTCTCCCCAGAAAACCAGTAACAAAAGCCATTGAAACCACAAGCACTTTGAACAATTGTACCATGTTAAGAACAATTAGAGGAATTTATTGGGGGGTTAGACTGTAGGCTTTCCTCCACCATGCAGCCCTCATGCAGTCCTCAGAATGTCAAACATCTTGAAGACACTTACTCCCTTTTCTACTTATTCTGGGCATTTGAGCTTTCAAGGCACTGTCCCCCACATAAGACTTTTTGTAATGTTAATTATAACCAAAGTAAATTACAAAGTCATATTAAAAATAAAAAATTAAGATATTTCCAATATCCAGGTCCCTTCATTTTCCCAATAAATACTTCTAGTCTTAAATGCAACATTCATTCTTCTCCCCAATCTCCAGATACCATGGCCATAATCCAGAGAACCGCCACCAAAGGGCTAAGTGGAGGGGAGGCTAGATTTTGACTCTGATTTTGACTGAATGTGACACAGACCCAAGTTTTTCCCAAATCTTTAGATAAGCCAGCAGCTGACTTTAAAACTCATTCTTGTTTTCATTTCTTCAGGAGCTCAAGTGTGTGCTGACTGGTGGCAATCAGCATTAGGCTTAGAGTCTGTGAACTCTAAAGTTGATAGCTTTACATCAGGAAAGGATTCACAGGTGAAGGAAAGAGGAGTTGCACGTTGAGGAACAATCTGACAGGAACTCTTCATTACAGCAACAGAGTTGCCATTTTCATTACTCAAGAATGAATGCTCAAGACACATAATTCAGGTATAGTAAAATGTACATGACAATAGAATTCCTCCAGCATATTTCCATAGTTAATCTTAGAGCAGCATCGTTAATATTAAACCTTGGCGCATGTTCTTCAGCTTCAGAAACATAAAACAGCAAGGCAGACCAAGATGGGAGTGCATTTCAATGGTAAATATTTGGAGCCCCTAACAATCTGAAGTTAGAATGGATATTGATGCAAATTAATACCTTGATCTGAAATTCATCCTGAAAACTCTAATTTTTATATGGAAATCGGTTATATGAACTCAGTTCCATTTTTGTGACCTTCAAAGCAGATAGCAGATATTTTATTTTCTTAAAATACATAAGAAACTTCAGTTCTTAATTTGCAAATGTAACAATTAAGTTCATCCCCCATGGGTTTATAGCATGCCCGGTTTTCACAAATGTTTGTAGAAAGTCCCTGTCACTGACATTAATATAACCATGCACCGATCTCACACCAGTCGGCCAGACCAAAGGTTTGAGCATCCCTCATACAAGAAAGACAAGGTAAAGGAAACTGGAGGCACTGCCCAGAAATACGCTTTTGTTTTTTAGCTCATGAAATGTGAAGAGTTTGCTATATGGACTCTTCTAAAGGGGGAAAAAAAAAAAAAAATGAGGGGGGGCAAATAACAAATATATTGATTTCATGAATCTGCTTTGCTCTAGCAAATGAATAAGTGATTTGCAGATCATTAAAATATGAATGTAAATTGCCTGATTTATACAGTTTTGCAAGCCCCACTCTCTACTCTAGAGAAAGGACCACTTGATAAGGGCCATCCAAGTGAAAAGTTGCTCAGAAATGTTCTACTGACACCATGAACAAGTATAATTCTTTTCTTGTGTGCTCATCATTTATACCTTATCTTTACTTTCCCTAAACTGCACTATCCCCAAAGCCTTGACTTAGAGCAGCTCAAACGACTCTTCACAGAGTGCTTTGGTTGACATTTGAAAATGCCACTGAATGGATCTTAATTCAGTAACTATCTTCAGTCATTTTAATCTACTTCTCTTTTTAAAGTTTTTTCAGTTTACTTATTTGATGGTTTCATTAAGTATCTACCTATATTAAGAAATACCTAGCATGTCAGTTCAAAAAAAGAAGGTAAATTTTTGAACTGGGAAAACATTCCTTAAGTCCAATTTTTAATGTCAAGTTAAAATAGATGAAATCCCCATCTTTGTTTCTCAGCATTCACTACAAATATAGGCTGGGACAGAAAAAGATAGGAAACATTTTTAGACTGGTAAAGTAATTTTTACAGATTAGCTTTATAAGATAAAGGCAAAGCTAAGGAGGGTTTTGAGTTCATTCATTCAACACATCACACACTGACCCTGTCACCAGTTTGTGTCAGAGCCCTTCCTAGGGTTGAAATGAAGAGAAGGCCAGTTCCTCCAAGACCAAGTTTCTCAGAATACAAATTCAGCTTTAGGATTACACGCCCACGTTTTGTGTTCCAGAAGGCCCTATTGTTCCAGGTTGTCTGTGTTGCAATTCTTACTTAACAGTGAACCGATATCACAGTAAGAAAGCTCCTCAGGGGATTGGGGTGGGGTGGGGAGGACAGGAAGAATAGCTCATGCGCATGCATAAATAAGAGATTTCCCGCTGTTAGTTCTTTTATTCATCAAGAACCTGATTATACAATTTTTAAATGGGAGTGGAGTAGGCAAACATTTTTCTGGGATATCACTGGGTCCTCAAGTCCCTATACAAAAAAACCATCCAAGAAACCACTCAGTCCTTCTACTGTGAAAGGAAAGAACAAGAATCATTTTGTTAAACTTTTAGGCTTGAGAGATTTATTTGTTACTGCTCCATAGGCTAGCCAAGCCTGACTAGTAGTAAGTAGCCAATAATGGGATAGAAAATACATAACCATTTTAAAATAAGATATAATAGGAATAAAGTGTAAGAAATGCTATACTTTTATTTAATTATGCTTAAAGATTTTATTTACTTATTTATTTGAAAGAGAGAGAGAGCGCACCAGTGGGGGTTGGGCAGAGGGTGAAGCAGACTCCCCACTGAGCAGGGAGCCCAACATGGGGCTGGATCCCAGGACGTGAGCCGAAGGCAAACGCTTAAGGGACTGAGCCATCCAAGCACCTCAAAACTCCCTCCTTTGGAAATCCATCAGTGTATATCCCAGTCTTAGCTGAATCCTGGATAAAACACTGGAATAGTTTCCTTATAAGAAAGAAAAGGAGCCCTTTTATGCTACGACGTATTTGGCCATGTTGGTACAACCCCTTCCCCAGGCTGCTTCTTCCCCTTTCTTTCTCATTCAAGGGATTTCCAAAGTGGTGCCACCTATCAAATAAGCTGGTTTTCCATTACACGCAGGGGATGAGGACTGCCGGGAGGCATTAAGCTAAGAAAAGTATCTGACAAACACTGGTATTCTTTTTTTCTTAACGGAGGTATAGTTGCAGTACAATGTTCTAGTGGTTTCAGGTGACAACACAGCGGTTCCACAGTTCTCTACGTTCTGCCGTGCTCGTGGTGTTCTTTTTTATTATTAAGTGATACCCACAGACACATCAGAATGTCTTATGATTTGAACTGATCATCCCATCTTCTACCAGGGGCTGACAGCTGTTCAAACTTCGATTTCAGACGGTCATTTGGCTTTCAGAGCTCTGAGAATGAGGCTCCAGAGAAACCGCCGAATACTAGGCTCTCCTAGATCTCCCTGGATCTACAATGTGTTCCAGAAGGAACCTATCTTTCAGAAGTATATAACCAGCTGTGGGGACAGAAGAAGGGAAAGGAAAGGAAATGACCCGTTAATTGAAATTCGGTGCGAAATCATGCGAAACGTGAGCCCAGAAAGAGATCAGTATTGGCTGCTGTTCTTGGGAAAGAGAAACTTGGGCTTCCTGGATCAACAGAAGTTTGACAGGCCAGAGAGATGAAAGCATAGCCACAGGATGTACAAGGACCAGAAGCCTAGAATGATCCTGGTGTAAACAGGGAAGAGGGAAAGGAGGCACATGGAGGAGGATAAAGGGGACATATTAGGGAGAAGGAGGAAAGACCAAGTTGCTTCCCACAATCCAGGGTATGAAAAACCAACATCAAAACCCAGTTACACAGATGGTGATTTGCTTTTAACATCCCCAAAAGGTATTTTCTCTTTCCACCATGGGAAACCGTGGACACTGACCCACTAGAAAAGCAAGGTTAAGCAAACAATATTGATGTGAAAAGCCAATGACATTGTCAAGATGTTCTCTGGGTAAATCTTGGGCGTATTTTCAAAGCAGAAGCAATTTATCACCATGTATATTACTTTTCTTTAAACCTACAGGTCAAAGTCCACAGCCCCTCTCCCAATAAGATAAGTGCAAGAAACGGTCAACAGTCACAAGAATTCTTAAGATCCTGTCTTCTAACTGGTGCCAGTTTCAGAACTGGAATATACCTTAGAGGTTTCCTAGTTCAGACTATCCCTGATGCACTGAGTCATTAGGCAGATGAGAGAATAAAACCCAGAAGGTACTAATTTGGCTTCTAACACTGAGGATTAAATATATTAAGAAGACTTTGTTTCATTGCTGGGACATCACAGTGATTGCCGTCTTGGGTCTTTTAATCATTAAGTGATTAAAAGATTACGTAGGTAAATTCCAAGCTCTCCCTTCTCCCTGATTTTAGACATTCTAGATGAATCTTTACTTAAAATAACTTGATGTTTTCTTTGGACAACATCTGGGACTTGATTTACCTTCATCTTACCTGAAATGCTTCCAATCACACAAAGTAACTCGACTTTTTCCTCTGCTAGTTTGAAAATATTCTGCTCAAAACGTTAAGCCCTCTCACTTCCCCTTGCTTTCTAAAGCGGCATTTCTCTTTGTAAGGGAATATCCACTCTTGAAATCACCCACGAATTACTCTGATTGTTGTACATAAAAGGTTTATTGTTGGTAGTTGCTACTGTCTAAGGTTTGTCAAACTTCTGAGTGGTTTTGATTAGATGAAGTACCATCGGGTCTCCACAATTTCAGGGCAGAAAATAATATCTAGTAATGGTCCATTCTAAGACAAATTACAGTATTTGGAAAAGCAAA